GTGTCCAATGGTGAGACTCATTTGTTCTCTAAATCCAACAAACAACGGAAACAATGCAACGAGAGAAACTTGAAAATTGCTTCTCCATCTCTTGTTTGAGCTCTGGGTCATCACTTCCACAATCTGTTTACAACACAAGTGAGGATTCATTTTCTACTATCACACCAAAAAAGGGAACATCTTGAAAGGAGAAAAAAATGCAACGATTTGTTACATATCAGAAAAACGTAATGCAACATGATGCAGAAAGGACATGATAAAGCGTCCGAGACTGATCACAAATAACAATCAGAGTAACACTGAATGAGATAATGCAAACAATCCTTGTATTGTACATCCATTCCCAATCAATCCAAAGACACCATTGAACGGGAAACAAAATGAAAGCATACGAGTGTAGTGATGTAAAAGGGAAAATTGAGTACCTGCTAAGTTCCCATGTTAAGTTTCCCTTTTGTAATTAGGATTCTGCAACAGAACCATCAACACACTTGATTAAGTGAAAATCCAAAAAGCTAACAAATTCTAGGTTTTTAGTACAAGATTGTGTCTCTCACGTGAGTTGGCGTCCAAACATTGATGATTTGATATGAGCTGGCATGTCATCTGGACCTGCAATGAACAATTCAAAATTCTCAATACATCAAACCTGAAGAATTCATAAAGGAAAAACCACATTTTAGAGGATAAAGGGTACATCTTTGGTTTATAGATTACAATCAATCCACAAAAATTGGTAATTGTAAACTAACCTTCCATTGTATGCCTCCAAGGAGCTGAATTCCCCTGGAATTCAACAATAACAACAAAAAGATATATACATACCTCAGGAACAATCCTGTTCAAGAAAGTCTCAGTATCATCTTGAACATATGGATCGTAATTCTCATTGATTGTGAGCGAAGCACTTGTGTGTTGTATTGCAAAAATTAAACAAGTTTTTAGATCAAGAATCCGAAAAACTGAGTAAAATTACAGAGAAGAAGAAAGAAATCTCACAGAAGACATGAGCAAGGCCACAATTGAAATCTGATAAGTTTTTCCATATTTCCTTCATAATCTGTTTAAACAACACAACAAGAACAATTCTTCTTGTCCGTAAAAATACGATTGAAACCCAAAAAAGCGAATCAAACAAGAATCGAATCAAAACCTTAGGAGTGATGAGATGACATCCACGTTTTAGCGGTGGAAGCGTGATGATTTTCTGAGCCCACTTCGGACCAGAACAAGAAGTCGCCATTGAAGCTCGATCTATGCTCGGATTCGCTGGAGTCAAAACCGATCTTACACGAACATGAACACAGAGAGATGAATCGCCGTTTGTGGTTCGATTTGCGAGAGAGAGAATCGCGAGAGACGGTGAGAGAGGACGACGAAATCGACATTGGAAGAGAGTGGTTCGATTGTTTGATTTATGTTAATTGACTTGCTATCTAGACCATCTATTTCAAATTTATTTATTAGATTGTGTGGTCCGGATTTCATAGTAAATTTGCACTCTCATGCTTATTTTAATGTCTCAAATATCATGTGTATGTATAGTCGAGTCTTCGTGGTCAGTTAATAGACTATCAACATTTTCAGCATGTCATGTATAACTACTCTATGTTTTAGTTGTTTGTATGTTCAAGTCTTCGTGGTCAAGTAATGCTTTGCTTTAACTAGTATAATTGTATTTCTTTCGAAGACCATCATGTAGATTAAAATTAGATAAAAAAAAAGTGAAAGAGATTCAAAATACAAGCACAAATTGCATCAATAACGGAGTGGAAACAATCACTCTTTGTACCTTAAAAAATCAGTACAAAGAGTGGAAACAAAACGGCGTAACGGAGTACCCTTTCGACGACATGATATTCTTTTTCTCGGAAAACCCTTTAGGATGTCGCTATTAAACCTCTATGACCTGTGAAAGGAACAAAAAAGAATCCACCGGTCCTCCTCGAACTTATCTTCCCGGAACGAACAACGACAATTGTTACAAATTCTTGCAGACGTAAAATCACGTCGCCGGTGTGAAAGAAACTCAAGGGTTCACAGACAGAGAAGAAAGATAATGTAACGACAAAGAAGATAGAGAGGAAATAGAAAGTGTGAAGTAAGAAGAAATAGGCTAACCATGGTTAAACACATATTTAGGTTGGGTTATATTTTTTGTTGTGGGTTTCGTTACTTTTTAGGGATATTAAAGTCTTTTAGTACACTCAAAGTGCCCAAGGATTGGAAAGTGTCTATTTAGTATAACAAGTATTTTGGGTTATATTTTGTTGTGGCACGCGTCTCAAGGTTGTACTATCCGGCTCTCTCACTCGTCTCCAAGAGCTTTCGATCTCTCCTTGCTTCACCGGAGCTTTACAAGGATCGGTCACTCTTGGGACACACGGAGAGTTGTCTCTATGTATGCTTATTTGACTATTCTGATCAGAAACCTAGGTGGTTCAACCTCTAACGGTAGTTTTTACACTAAAATCGCTTGTATTGATGGAAAGTTCAAGTTGGAGACTGAGACAGAGATTTTTTATTACAATTCCAAGGAAGGTAGATGGAAATTGTTTAGAATGCGGACTCCACACCGTTATGATGGATAGAGAATGTTTTATACTCTGTTACTCGTAGATATTTCACTTGGTATGACACTGAGGCAAGCGGATGGAGAGTGTAGACAGGTTTGGAAGGACTACCTAACTTCCCTCGTCATGTTAAATTGGCTGATTATGGTGGAAAGATGGCGGTTTTGTGGGATGAGGAATATCCTTATGATCGGCCTTTTCGACGCTATCAGAAGATGATTTGGTGTGCGGTGATTGCGCTTGAAAGGATCAGCAGATGGGAAATTCGGGGGAAAGTTTGAGTGGTTTGATATTGTGCTTATAGTCCCAGTAGTATGTGATTTGGTGAATGTTCTTGCTGCTACGGTTTGATGAATGAATGCGTCACAAGGCTTTAACGTGTGGTCTTTTTGGTAATATCATTGTTGGAATGAG